ATCAAAAGCAGTCTACAGATTCAATGCAATTTCCATCAAAATTCCAATATCATTCACAGAAATAGAGAACAAAATCATGAAATACATATGGAAGCAGAAGACCTCAGTGAGTCAAAGCAATAAGAGAAATTCTTGAGAACTGTGTGTTCATTTCATTAGGTCATTTGTTGATGGGGTTGTTTGATTTCATGTTAATTTTTTAGTTCTTTGTATATTTTTCAATCTTTTTTATATAGTATCTCCTACTCTGTCAGCTAGTCCAAATGGCTTTCACATCTGAAACATGCAGATAAAGATTAAAATCTAAAGACCAACGGCAAATCAGACTGTTTCTGTGAAACGAAATTCTGTCCCCTGCTGTCACATTACCAAACCACCATTCAGTGAATGGCTCAACTGAGTCTTCAAAATGACAAGCATTTCAACTGTAACTTTTTAAAAAATTGGTATCAAGAGCACAAACCAAACCATGGTCCAGAACACAAGGTTTAACCAGGAGCTCCCTAAGTCATAAAGCTGAACAACTAAAATACTTCTTCACAAGTAAGACTGGGTCAAAACAAAAAGTTCTTTTCTTCAGCAATTAATCCAGCTGGGTTTATAGGCAACCAACATTAGGAGTTGAGAACCAGGGGGAAACTAGGAAAAACTACCAGCAGGGAATTTCCCTGTGACCCAGCTGTAGGAAACAACTTTTGCTCCTGGGTGACTTCACCAAAACCATTGCAGGTCACTCAGAATGATAAACCCATTGCTTCAGTTCCCTATTCTTTTCTTCCCTCTTTCTTTCATTCTTTCTTTCTTTCTTTCTTCCTTTCTTTCTTTCAGGTTTATTAAGACAGGATCATATTCTGTAGTCCAGGCTACCCTCAAACTTGTAGCAATCCTCCTGCTTCAGCTACTTGTGTGTAGGATTCCATATGTGAGCCACCACATATGGTTTCTCTGTATTCCTAAAGATGTAAAGAAACAAAAATGGGTATAGAAAAAATAAGTTATTCATTGTTTGTCCAAACCAGGGAGTTTCCTAAAATCCCTCCACCTTTCTTATAGCAGTGTACCAATATCACAGAAAAGATAGAACAGGGGCTGGAGAGACGACTCCGCTGTTAAGAGCACTGGCTGCTCTTCCAGAGGACCTGGGTTTGATTCTCAGTGCTCACACTGTGCTCACAACCTTGTCTAACGACTGTAGTTCCAGTGATTCCACCCTTCTCTGGCCTCCTCAGGCACCAGGCATGCATGTGGAGCTTAGACTTACACACAGGCAAATACCCATATGCATAAATCTAAATCAAAAAATAAAAAATAAAAAAAAAGGAAGAAGGAATGAAACAAAAGCCAGGAAATAGGCATACGCTAATTTATGATAAGCCTGTCACAACTGGGTGAAATCCTTTCCTGGCAGGCAGGCAAGAATCCTGGCAGAAATCATAATTTTGAGGTTGATGCTTTAATGTAACTGGAGTGGTATAAATGAGTATATCCTAGAGACATTTGCATCCCTCACTATAACAACTAGGCTACTGAAACAAGAGACCCCAAGAAACTGGAAATTCCCCCAGGAATCTAGTGGTGAGGCCTGGGTGTTGTGGAATATTATAAAGATGTGTTACATTGTGTATGTCATGGAACATTTGTTTAATGATGCAAAGATGTGCTGCATTCTTTTATGTTGCATTTGTTTAGCTCTGTGAAGCTGTGTTACTGTGCCTGTCTAAAACACGGTGATGGTCTAATAAAGAGCTGAAGAGCCAATAGGGAGGCAGGAGAAAGGACAGGCGGGGCTGGCAGACAGAGAGAATAAACAGGAGGGAAAAACTGGAAGGAAGAGAGAACAAGGAGCAAGAAAAGAAGGGTCCAGCCACCCAGCTACACGACCAGCAATGGAATAAGAAAGAAAGAAAAGTTACACAGAAATAGAGAAAGGTAAAATCCCAGAGGCAAAAGACAGGATAATTTTAAGTTTAAACAGAACAAAACAAAACAAAAAAACGCTGGCTGGCTAGAAACATGCCAAGCTAAGTCTGGGCATTTATAAGGAATAGAGTCTCCATGTGTATTTATTTGGGAGCAGGGTGGTGGGCCCTCAAAAGAACAAAGAGTGAAGAGTGAAAAACAACCAACTACACCTGGGTTCAGCCAGAGGGGAACTTGTCTCTCAGAAAAGGGGTTTCGCACAGTTCTTCCACTTTGTCAGACCATTTTACAAGATGAGACGTGAGCCCAGACAGTGATGGGTCAGTGGTGGGTGGGACCACGTATTGACCTGGACTGCTTAAATGTTCACATCCTTGGCTCTCTATCTTTTTGTTTGCTTGCTTTTGTTTTTGGAGACTGGGCTTCTCTGTGTAGCCCTGGCTGTCCTGAAACTCGCTCTGTAGCCCATGCTGGCCTAGAATTCATAATCTTCCTGCCTTTGCCTCCTTCAGGAAATCCTGCTGGCATGCACCACCACAACCAACTCTTGGTCCTCTGTTTAACTTTTAATCTCACTTTGAGACTCTGAAGATGAACTTGAGGGAATCACTGAATCTCTGTCACTCTTCCTGATGTGGCTACATTGAAAGAAGCCTATTTGGTCTGCTTTTTACTCTTCATTTGGCTCACTTTTTGCTATTAATTGATTTCTCAACAGTGGGTAGACAAATTTAGCTTCTTGGGATACAATATAACTCCAGCTATGGTAACAGTGGCATCCATGTTTCAATATAGTAAGTAAACAAGACACCAGAAGCAAAACTATAAAGAACCAGATATGGTGACACACACCTACAGTCACAGCACTAGGGGGGCTGACGAGACGGGGGATTGATGTGAATTTGAGGCCAATCTGGACTACACATTAAGAGTCGGCCTCAAACAAAACGTAGTGATAGGAGCAGTGGGTATAATAATGAGGGGTAAAACTACTTGTCAGACCAGAATTGATACGGATGCGTTAATAAAGAATAGACACTGTGGGCAGAAACACAGAAGGCAGATTCAGAGGGGGTGGGGATGTACCCCCGCTGAGGACTAGGAGTCCTTTTATAGACATTGGAAGGAATTACCTGGGCTTGCTGCCTGGGCCATCCCCACCCCCACCTCAAGTCCATCTTCAGGAACTTGAAGTGAGAGTAAAGATTAAATGGAAGCCCAGGGCAGATATGGTCCTGACATCAGTGGCCCATTATTGTCTGGGCTTTAGTCTTCTGTAAGGAAGTGGGACCATGTGAAATCTCTTTTCCAGGAGACAAGTTTCCCCTCTGGCTGATGTCCGAAATTTCCATTTCTTTGTGGTTTGTTGTTTCAATAGTCTGATAGTTAGATTGAGAGGCACAAGTGTCTCTTTAGTCTATCTTCATTTCTGCCAGGCCAGTTACTATGAGGCACCAGGGGCCATTAGGAGCTAAGCCCTACTTGTTTATATGTGGTTACACTGGGTAAGCTCCAAGTTGTTAAGGGCCATCTGCCAGAGAGTGGGATCTTTTTTTCTTTCTTGAGACAAACTCTCACTATGCAGACCTGGCTGGCCTGGAACTAGCTGTGTCTATGTAGACCAAGCTGGAGACAACACAATAGATAGCCACTGTTTCTTCTGCCTTTTGAGTGCTGCAATTAAATGCAGACACAACCATGTCTAAACTTGTGGTGGTCTGAATAAAAATGCCCCCCATGGGCAATAGGGAGTGGCACTATTAGGTATTGCCTTATTGGAGTAGGTGCAGCCTTGTTGGAGGAAGTGTGTCACTAGCGGAGGGCTTTAAGGTCTCAGATGCTCAAGCTATGCTCAGTGTGGTATTCTCTTCCTACTGCCTGAGGATCCAGATGTAGAACTCTCAACTACCTCTCCAGTACCATATCTGCCTGCATGCCACCATGCTTCCCACCATGATGATAATGGATTAAGCCTCTGAACTGTAAGCCAGCCCCATTTAAATGTTTTCCTTTATAAGAGTTGCCGTGGCCAGGCGGGGTGGTGGCATACACCTTTAATCCCAGCACTCGAGAGGCAGAGCCAGGTGGATCTCTGTGAGTTCAAGGCCAGCCTGGTCTACAAAGCAAGATCCAGGACAGGCACCAAAACTACACAGAGAAACCCTGTCTCGAAAAGCCAAAAAAAGAGTTGCCGTGATCATGGTGTCTCTTCACAGCAATAAAAACCCTAACCAAACAAACCTCAAATTTTGTATTTTATTTTTGCCTGTTTTGTCCCTATATACAGAGAGAGAGAGAGAGAGAGAGAGAGAGAGAGAGAGAGAGAGAGAGAGAGAGGAAGAGGGAGGGAGGGAGGGAGAGAGAGAGAGAGAGAGAGAGAGAGAGAGAGAGAGAGAGAGAGAGAGAGAGAGGAAGGAAGGAAGGAAGGAAAAGAAGAACTATTTGACTATACAAATTTTTATTATAAAAAAAGGCTAAGGCTCAGTGGTTGAGTGCTTGCCTAACATAAATAATACCTTTGATGTGCTCCCTGGTATCACATACACACACAAAATGAAAAAAAAAATTAAATAAAATAAAAAACTAAGAAAAGGATGAATTACATGGCAATTATTTCTTTAATTATATGTAAATATTTAAAGATCTTTAGGAACAAAGGGATGGTAAGTTGCTTGCCTAGCATGTATGTGGTACTGGGTTCAATTCCCAGTACTGGGTCCACATATCCATAATATTCATTGCTTTTGCCAAATGTGGTGGCAAAGGCCTGTAATCCCAAAATTTAGGAAACCAAGTTTAAGACCAGCTTGGGTTACAAAAAACAAAACAACAGAATCTGTAAGAAAAGACAAACAGCTGAACATGATGGCTGACAAACCTAGCAACTGGAGGCAGAGGCAGGAGGATCACTGTAAATCTGAGGTCAGCCTGATCTACATAGAGTTCTAGGCATGCCATGGAACCCTATCCAAAATAAAGAGAAAGAGAGGGAGGGAGGGAGGGAGGGAGGGAGGGAGGGAGGGAGGGAGGGAGGGAGAGAGGGAGGGAGGGAGGGAGGGAGCGAGGGAGAGAGACCAATCAAGTAGAGAAAATGAGTTTTTTAGTCATGGATAAACATGCGGAAAGTTAGGTAATAAAGTATTTTTGAGTTGCATTAAAAGTATGAAATTTAATAAATATTTTAAAACTATTTGTGTTACCAATTGTTCCTAAGCATCTGAATGATGGCATCTTCTTATAGGGCTAGTGGTGGCATAAATCCAACTGAAGGACTAGGAAATAGACAGACTCCCTGCCAACAGATGAGGGCCCATGACTAGGTAATAAAGATGGCAAGTTTCCAAGATGGCTGGCTTCTTCCTCAACCTGCTCACCTGAGCAAAATCTGGTAGCTTAAAGCAAAGGCCTGACCAGCCTTTTCTCATACCATTAGGGCCCCCCAGCCTGTGTACCGGTCTGACAAGTTCAAGGCCATACCAGGATGTGTTTACCCCAAACTTGTGAAAGCTAAGCCCTAAAGGAGACATCTACATCACACCCCTTCCCTTAAGGCTCAGGGATCTTCACAGATGAGGGACAGAAAGACTGAAAGCCAGAGGGACTTGATGCCAGTGGCAAAACACCAATTTCCAGACGTGACGATGCCATTACACATATAAACTCAGGGCAGCTGAGACTCCAGGCACAAGAACACACAAGATCAAGCCATCAAAATCCCAGCATGCATGAAGGAGGGAGGTGCTCAGGAAGTCCCACCCCATCTGAAGAGCTATTGATGTTTTCTGGGAGAGGGAGCGCCAGTTTTTATTAGGGATGTGGGCTGTGAGAGACTCCCCATGATTTAGTAGATGGCCCCCTTAGACTCATATATTTTCGAGCTTCGCCCCCAGTTGGCAAACTGTTTGGAAAGATTAGGAAGTATGGTCTTACTGTAGTAGGTATGTTCTTGCTGGAAGAGATATGTCTCTGGGGGGGTAGGCTTTGAGGTTTCAAAATCCCACACCAGGCCTGAGTCTCTATTTCTCTCTCTCTGCTTGCTGCCTGTGGATCAGGATGTAGCTCTCAGCTACTTCTCCAGCACCAGTCCTGCCTTTGAGCCATGCTCCCGCCATGACAATGGACTGACCCTCTAAAATTGTAAGCAAGCCCCCAGTTACATACTTCCTTTTGTAAGAATTGCCTTGGTCATGGTGTCTCTTCACAGCAATAGAACAGTGGCTAATACAGTCCTACACTCATGCACACACAGACAACACTAAGTGGACTCAGTGAGTTTTTAAAAAGAGCACATAAAGTGGGAGGGAAAAGTGACAGGAAGATAGAGAAGGAATTGGAGTGGAAGGAACAAGGGGAGGGGGCTTGATCAAAACACATTTTATGCATGTATAAAAATTTCAAACAATAAAAAGTATTTTTAAAAGACAGAGTGAGGCTGGAGAGATGGGATGGTGGTTTGAATGAGAATGGCCCCATAGGCTCATATATTTGAAAGCTTGGTCCTCAGTTGGTGGAACTTTTAGGAAGTATTAGGAGGTGTGGCCTTGTTGGAGGAGGTGTGTCACTGAGGTGGGCTTTGAGTTTTCAAAAGCCCAAACTATTGTCAGCTCCCACTCTGCCTCGTTCTTACAGATCAGATGAGAGCTCTTAGCTGTGCTTCCAGCACCACGCCTGCCTCTTGCTGCCATCCTCCTTACCGTCATGGTCATGGACTCTACTGGCACTTGAATGCTTTTCTCCTGTAAGTTGTCTTGGTCATGTGTCTTGTCATGGAAATAGAAAAGTAACTAAGACAACGGCTCAGAAGTTGAAAGTACTTGCTACTCTTGCAGAAGATGTGGGTTCAGTCTGTAGCACCCACATGGTGATTCACAGCCACCTCTAACTCCAGCACTAGGGGATCCCAACACCCTGTTCTGGCCCATGGGCACCAGGCATGTACATGATGCACATGCATACATGCTGACAAAACACACAGAGATACAATGAAAGTAAATCTTAAAAATAAAAATAAGGGATTTTTTAATAGGAAAGGAGATGAGAGGATAAAGGGATTAGGGGGCCATATGACTCAAATCTCTGGATGCTTCCTGCTGAAGTGAGGCCTCAATGGATTGGGGTGGTCCCCTCTCATCTGGTAATGGGTAGTCTGATATTAGTCTTTGGGTAAGGAGCTTGTATCTGAATTTATGCATCAACAGGACATTGTCCATGTGTTGTAAAGCCACTTGGAATTGGATTTGTTGAATTATAGAAGAAATCAATACATAAGTTTAAGAAGAAAGGGTTGAGAGTGAATAGAAAGGTTAATAGTTAATATAGAACAGATGCCATCAGAGGAAGGAATGCCTATGAAACCCAAGTTTCTATTGTATCAGCTCCCTGAAGAATATATTTGGTATTTTGTTAGGCTAGAGGAGGTTGGAGGGGAAGGCATCAGAGTAAAGACAGTTTGGAATAGGGTTGTTGAGAATGCCCTTAAGGTTAATCTTGGCTAAATGATTACACAGTTTTGGAGTTTCCACTAGGAAAATATATTGGCAGGGATTAGCAGACTTTTTTTTTTTTTTTTTTTTTTTTTTTTTGGTTTTTTCGAGACAGGGTTTCTCTGTGTAGCTTTGCGCCTTTCCTGGATCTCGCGCTGTAGACCAGGCTGGCCTCGAACTCACAGAGATCCACCTGCCTCTGCCTCCCGAGTGCTGGGATTAAAGGCGTGCGCCACCACCGCCCGGCTCAGACTTTTTTTTTTTACATGTAGGTCACAGACCCTTTATTATAAAAACAGAAAGGTAATGTTAGCTGGATTCTAGGTTAAACAAGAGCCCCTGTGAGATAAATTTCCACTACGGTCAGTTTATGAATGTAGCACATTTTTAGGCAATGTCTTAAGAAACCCTTTTGGGAAAAGATGGGTAATAATCATTGAGTGGCAGAGAACCATAATGGCTGGTCTCATATATTTCCCTGTGTTTCATAAAGTCCACTCTTGAGCAGATGCCATTTGTATGTAGCTTCAGCCTTGAGTGAAGTCAGATAGCTAGAAAGGGTGAGATTTGAAAGAAATAATTTGATTATCTGGTTATTAGAAGTGGAGAACATGAAAGGGAATAAAAGAGGCAAAAGGAAGATTTTTAGGGTGTTTATGACATCAAAAAGAAGAGAAAGGCTTAGCTAAGGCAACCACTGGAATACAAAAGAATGACTTCCCTCTGGAGAAAGTAAGCAAATTCTTATACACAGGTCTAACATGAAAAGGGGCATGCTAGAACTACAACCCGGAACACTATGTCTCAGAGCAGCAGATAATCATCAACTATCTCTTTGGTTGGGGGAGTTCTAGAAAGGAATTGCAGATGTTTCACTGGTTCACATGAGGCAAGCTGTTGGACTGACCATTTTTGCCAGGAGTCCTGTCATAGGAATGTTAGATCACACACAGAGGCAGGTAAGAAATTGGCTATGGGGAGTGGGGATGGCTCAGTGGTTAAGAGCACTCTGCTCTTCCAGAGGACCAGAGTTAGATTACCAGCACCAACTTGGAGGCTCACAACATCTGTAACTCTGGCTTCAGGGGAATCAAATGCCCTCTTCTGGCCTCTGCAGGCACCAGGCTCACAAATGGTGATTCACAGATGTAGAGGCAGGCAAAATACTCATGCACATAAAATTTCTCTTGAAAAAATATTAAATTGCTATGTTAGGAGACTAAAGTAGCCCCAATCATTCTGGCTGTTGTTTAGTTAGGTTTCTGTTGCTGTGGTAAACACTATGGCCGAAAGCAACCTGGGGAGGAAAGCAGTTTATCCCGGCTCACAGTTGCAGTCCGTCATGACGGGAAGTCACGGCAGGACTGAAGCAGAGGCTATGGGGCAGTGCTGCTTATACGGCTGCACCCCATGGCTTGCTCAGTTTGCTTTTTATATACCCCAGAACCACTTGCCCAGGTATGGTACTACAGTGGACTGGTCACTTCCACATTGATCATTCACTAGCCAAGAAAATGCCACACAGATTTACCTACAGGCCAGTCTAATGGAGGCAATGTCTCAGCTGACATTCCCTCTTCCTGATGACTCAAGTTTTGTCATGATCTCCAATACAGCTCTGGGCCTGTAATCCTGTAACTCTCCACAAATGCTGAAGTAAGTTGCTGAAAGTCTAATAACCAAGGTGTGACTTTTGTTCTGGGAATTTGAGTTTCTACTTCCCCTGTTAGTCAAGCACATCACTTCGTGTATTTAGAACACATTGTCTTATGTCTCTTGGTACTAGAAAGGCTTCTTCCTAGGACATGCTATAGATGAGGCTGACTATGCAGGAGGTCAGTCTTCAGTAGAGCAAGGTGGTTGGTAAAGCCATTAAGAAATCTGTGGATCATGCTGAATCTACTAGTCACCATGGTTTAGGTCTGAGTATTTTCTTTTGTCCTATGTATCTGAATAACATTTACCTGTAATATATGCATATTATTTCTAAAGTTAATAAGACACACTGTGACCCAAAAAAGTAAAGGTAGCAGATGAGGGAAATATATTTTAATTTGGCCAAGAGCTAACCCAAATCTTTGGATATTTCTAACTTTAAGGTTGTCAGATGTCTGGGTATATCTGGGACTCTAAGAGCATTTAATTTGCTGTATCTTAACATTCTTATTATGGGGGAGGGGTCTCACAACAGCCTGGAACTTGCTGTGTAGACCTGGCTGACTCTGAATTCGTAATATCTGCCTGCACTACTATAGTACAGTATGGTACTGCTATAAAAATAAAAATGTAGGCCAATGGAACAGAATAGGGGACCCAGTAATAAACTCACACAGCTATGATACCTACTTTTTAGTTGATGGCTTTTAATTGTCCCAGGTGTGCCACAATAAAATGTCATCTGTGCTCTGGCACCCACCAGGAGCTGCTGGAGTAAAAGCCATGGCAGCAGGGTGCATAGCCATGCCCTCTCACAGACCCCAGCCTCTTCTTTGTGACGAGAGACCCAAGAAGTCTCAGCAACCTGGCCAGCTGCAAGACCACGGCCTCACTGCAAAGTGAAGTGGCCCAGCCAGTTTTTAGTTAGGTCCAGCCCCCAGCAGGACAGACTGTGTAAGCTATGCAGGTCCAAACACCTGATCTTTATCCTTGGCCTTGACACCAGTTCCTGGATTCTATAAGGTATCTGGATTTTAAACTGTTGAGTTCATTTTACAGAAAAACAAATGTCTTTTATCTATATATTATATTGGCATATTATCATGAACTGTTTAAGATTCCTGAGAAGCTGACTCTGGATATGGGATCTGGCCCACTTCAGATTCAAACATCATTGTATCAAAATGTCCTCCGTCCTGGGTCGTCAGGCTGGTCCCAACTCTGTGGCAAGGAAAAGAATAATAAAGCAACCCAAGAGTAAAGGCACTGTGCCCTTAAGGTCAGCTAATAAATTAACTGTTATGATATATTGCATGGGGGACCCTGAGGGTATTCCATGTGTGCAGGGAAACATGCTGGCATGCAGGGCAGATGCAGTGGGGAGTGGAGGGGCTGGCAGGAGATCCACGCTATTCAGGCCTGACGGCAGGGCTGCAGCAGACAGCCATTCGTGGAAATGAGTTTATTATAACAGGAGATAAAGAGACAGAAAGACAGAAAGGAGAGAGGAAAAGAAGACAGGAAAAGCAGGGGTGTGCGCATCTCGTGGTGGGGAAGAAAGAGAGCGGAAGAGAGGAAAGGGAGGGTTTTTCCGTAAAATAAGGCTTTTACATCAGGATGCAAGGCGGTATCTAGGGGCAGGTCAGAATACTAACATTGGTTTCCGAGGGGCGGGTTAGAATACTAACATTAACTATATCCAGCATAGGTTACTATTTATGTCAATACAGAGATGTCTATAATATAAACAGCTAATGGGATGCTCATCCACAGAGAAAACGGAAAGGACTTTCCACCTCAAAGTCTTTTAACCAATAATTCCAAATATACTAGTTTTGTCAGGGCTTCCTTGGTTGATTTCTATAAGAGGTTGTAAATGCTTTGCTATGTATCTGCTACATAGATTCATTCAAAGCCAAAAGCATGGTTATTATAGATGACACCATGCATTGTAGAAATACTGTCTTGTGTTTTCTATAAGATTTACCTAGAAATGTACAAAGCCTCAGAGTTTAAAAGTATGTACACAGGTAAATGTTATTACATTATCCTACTGTCTTACTTTTCTATTGTCGTGACAAAATACTATGACCATGACAATTTATAAAAGAAAGCTTTTAACTTTCTTACAGTTTGCTTACAGTTTCAGAGGGGAGCATGGAAGCAGGCAGGCATAGTGCTGGAGCAGTAGCTGAGTTTCATCTGATCCAGAAGCAGGAGGTGGCAGGGATGACTCACTGGGACTGGCATGAGCTTTTTAAAATTCCAAGTCCACCCCCAGTGACACACAGCCTCCAACAAGCCCACAACTCCTAATCTTCCAAAACAGTTCCACCAACTGCAGGGGGCGGGCAACTGAGGGGGCATCCAAATATTTGAGCCTAAGGGGACCATTTCCAATCAAACCACCACACCTGTATATGTAGTTTGGATTGAACTTTCTTTATTAAGATGGTATTACACAACACTAACTTCTAGGCCGAACAACTACCATCTCCATAAGAGTATCTATGGAGGCTTATAAAAGATTGTGATGATTGGCTTGCTGAGTGTAGGTCTTCCTTTGTAGGAGGAGGGAGAAAGGAGGGTCATTGGACCTTCATCCCAACGTAAACAAGACTGTCCAGATTTAATCTGTGGGGATCCCACAGAGAGCCATGCCCTAATGGAGGATGGGCTCACTTATGGGGTTCTCATGGGGACCCATGCCCTGATGGGGAATGGGCTTGCTTTATCATGGAGCTGAGCTCATAAGCAGAAAACAACCTTGTGGTTTACCACCATCTTGGCTAATGACATCATAAAGACAGCAAATGCTACGTGACTTCACCACCATCTTGGTTACTATAACCACATGGCATAAACCAAAATACTGGCACCATAAAACTTCCCCATCCCACTGAGCCCTCGGGGGATTACTGCACCCCTCTTTTTTTTTTAATCAGAATAAGGAGGTAATACCAGACAGTCAAGATTTTTTTTTTTAATTTTCAGTGTTTTGTTTTAGTTGTAACACTGTTTTTAAATGACATTATTTACTGGATTCTAAAGAGAACTGAAGAGACCAGGCAGTGGTGGTACGTCTTTAGTCCCAGTACTCAGGAGGCAGAGAGAGGCAGATCTCTGTGAGTTCAAGGCCAGCCTGGTCTACAGAGTGAGTCCCAGGACAGGCTCCAAAGCTACATAGAGAAACCCTGTCTCAACAAACCAAACTAAAACAAAACAAAACAAAAAACATGAAGCATTTTCCCACCACATGCCTCCAACACTGGCCTCCTAACAAAGAGAGCTAACACTCTGAAATTTGCAGGCACCAACAGCAGAATACTGGTAAAGCACAGATTCCAACAGGGACCCAAAGGACAAACTGCCAGGCACTGGCTGCCCCACAGTATAGAAAAAGATTAAAATGCATCACCTTCTGAGTTCTTAGATTTTTTTCCCTGTGTTTAATATTCTTTATCTTAAAGGGACTTAAACCCAGTTTACATGTGGTGATTGAAAGGAAGCTTTCCCTAGGCAACAAGAAGGACCCTAAGAGAGAAGGACACAAGGATTTCCCAGGGAAGGAGAAATAGAAGAGATCTCCTGGGTAAACTGGGGGCAGGGGGAGGGGGAGAGTGGAAGGCAGAGGATGGGGAGATGGGAACATGAGGGACTGACTGGTTGGTAGAGTTGGGGGCAGGACAGAGTGGGAAGAGAAATGGAAGAGATATCTTGATTGAGGGGGCTATTGTGGGGTTAGGGAGAAACCTGGTGCCAGGGAAACTCCCACAATCCACAAGGATGACCCCAGCTAAGACTCCTAGCAATAGTGGAAAGAGTGCCTGAACTGGCCTTCTCCTGTAATCAGACTGGTGACTACGCTAATTGTCATTAAAGAGCCTTCATCCAGTAACTGATGGAAGCAGATGCAGAGATCCACAGCCAAGCACTGGGCTGAGCTCTGGGAGTCCAGTTAAACAGAGGGAGGAGGGATTGTACAAGCAAGGGGGGTCAAGATCATGCCGGGGGAACCTACAGAGACAGCTGACCTGAGCTAGTCAGAGCTCACAGACTCTGGGCTGACAGCTAGGGAGCCTGCATGAAACCAACCCAGGCCCTTCGCATGTGGGTGACAGTTGTATAGCTTGGTCTGTTTGTGGGGTCCCTACCAGTGGGATCAGAACCTATCCCTGGTGCATGAGCTGGCTTTTTGGAACCTATTCCCCATGCTGGGATGCACTGCCCAGCCTTGATACAGGGGGAGGAGTTTGGTCCTGCCTCAAATTGATATGACATGCTTTGTTGACTCCCATGGGAAGCCTGCCTCTTTCTGAATGGAAGCCTGGATGGGGGCAGGGGACAGGAAGGAGGTGGGAGGAGGGAACAGGAGGGGAAGAGGGAGGGGAAATTGTGGTTGGTATGTAAAAAAAATGAAAATATAGAAAAAAAAGGTTTTCCCAATGAAGATAATTCTCTATAAATAAAAAAAAGAAAAGAAAAAGAGGATCACCATGAGTGCTTATCATGCTTGCTTCCTATCTATCGGATTTCTGAAACTGAAATGTGCACTTTCTTACAGAGTAAGAAAACAATCATAAGGTCAGGGAGCATGGTGCAGAGGAATTCCTCTCCTTTCTGTTTCGATTGGAAGAACATGTGCCTTGCCTTCCCTCCTCCAGCTGCTGGGAACTCTCAGAGCTTATGTCAGGCCAAGCCAGGCCTGGTGCACTATCATCAGCTAACATTTCCTCAGGCTATTGTTTGAGATGTGTTGGGACAGAGGGACACTCCCCTCTACACAGACAAGAGGTGACTTTAGTTTACAGAACATCACAACAAACAACAGGACTTTAACCCACTGCAGGTTCTATCTCTTCAGCTTCAGGCACGACCTTGATCTGTCCAGCAGGTAAGAGTCAAAGGCCATTAATGTCTACCTCTTAGGATGCTGGGTGTCTCAACTTCATCTGTCCTAGGGACAAGATGAAAAGGGAACATTAAAAAATATATACAGATATGTTAAGTTTTTCAGGTTGTCTGCCTGTCTGCAGGCCCACACAAACTAGTTATAAGTACAGGATCTTCCAAGTTAAACTCTGGTTCTCCCTGTGTTAAGTATGGGGAAGCCCTCATAATACTGGGTGAAGCCTTTCCAGGGTAACTGCTTTTGGGTCATCAACACTCCTGTCAAGAACCCCTCACTCATGTTCTGTAAGTAAACCCAATAAACTCACTGGTTCTCCAAGTTCATCTTTGATGAAATCAAACTTCCGTTTGTCATTGGGTCTTTATGAGAAAGGGATAGACCTCACTTAGTTCTCTTCAACACCCCAGAAGAAAATCCTCACAACAAATGGAAAATTTATTTATTAAAGTTATTATGTCTATGCTATTAAGAAAGAAAATCATAGGCTAGACATGGTGGTACATGCTTTTAATCCCAGTACTTGTGAGACAGAGGCAGATGGATCTGTGAGTTCAAGGACAGCTTGATCTACAGAGAGAGTTCTAAGACAACCAGGGCTACACAGAGAAACCCTCTTGGGGGGAAAGGGTAGTAATCAGTAAAAACAAAAAAAAAAAAAAAAAACATTTAAATTGTTTTAGTAAAGCATTTTTGTATGATGATTGAGATGGCTGGGTATATTTCCAGAATGAGAAAGCTGGTATAAGTTGTAAAGGTCTGAGTGAGTTAGTTAAGAGATATAAAGGGTGAAATTTAGAGAGGATGCATATGGCATTAACGGTTTTTTGTTTGCCTTTGTTTTGTTTGTTTGTTTGTTTGTTTTTTAGACAGGGTTTCTCTGTGTAGCCCTGGCTATCCTGGAACTCTCTGTAAACCACTGCTGAGATTAAAGGTGTGTGCCACCACCACCTGGCTAAAATGTATCTCTTTAAACTATTTAGAAAAGTGTGGTTTTTAAAATATTAGACAGTAATTAAAATACCAGCCTGGTGTGACTTACCTTCTAGGTGTTCAGTAACCATATTTAGAGGTCTATATTGATGTGGTCAAAAGGATTAAAAGAAGTTCCCCCTCCAAGGTCAACTACATCCCAAGGAACTGTGGGAGCATCTCTTGGAATATTCTGTAACCATGAAGAGTCACCTATTTCTTGTTCAGGAGAGTGTGGAGAGGTATCTGGTGAATTCTAACCAGTGTCTAGTCTATAAAGAGGAAGGGTCAAACGAGGAGAAATTTCTTCCGTACTTCCAAGTGAAACAATGGTTACCAAAGGCCTCAAGTTACCCTCACAGAGATGGAACAAGTGGCAGAGGAACGACTAGAGGAGCCTAGGATCCTCCCAAACCCAAGAGCCTGACCCCTGAGGTCTAGATCTTCAACTGGAATTGGAAGTAAAATGAAAGTAATTCATTTTGGTCACCTGCATGGCCTAAAACACCCAGCAGACAAGTATAACCAGGATTAAAATAATCAGCACATTTCTTAGACAGTCCAAGGGACTGCACTCCTCAGATATCACTGTATCTCTCACTAATAATTCTCAAGAAAGAAATATTGCTCATATATAAGACCTGACCTTGGCTCAATCCAACACTGCAGTGTCCACCTGCAGTAGCGAAATACAGGCCTAGTGTCTTAAATGCCCAAGCCAAAATCAAAGAGGACTAGACTTCCCGAGTGTGCCAACAGAGGGACTTGTGCTCCTCCAGAAACAATGCTGCTTCTACACCCAACAGACATAGAATTCACCAAGCCTCCTCCTCTGGATGGGCTCTTGGCTCCCTCCTATCCCGGCTACTCCTCTTACTCACCTCCTTCCTCCTAATTATCCACACACTTATATTTTTAGCCTGTCTTTTAAACTTTTTAGAGAAGTTCCTTCTGGATTAAATTGCCATCATCACTTGGTTCACAAGAGGATGATGTAAAACAATGTTTCTCTTGGTCACTCCAGACTCAATCTGCTGAGGCAAAAAAGGTCTAAAGTTTGGGCTACATAGAAAGTTTCAGGCTATCCAAGGCTACACAGTGGCATCCTATCTCAAAATACCAAAAGACAAAGAAGTAAATAATGCATTATCCTTCTGGCTAGTCAACTTGACACAAGCTAGTCACCTGAGAGAAGGGAATGTCAATTGAGAAAATTCCTCCCTAAGATCCAACTTAGATGTAACTGTACAGGTATCATCTTAATTAGTGATTGATGGGGGAGGGCTCAGCCCATTGTGGGTGGGGCCATGCCTGGACTGGTGGTCCTGGGTTCCATAAGAAAGCAGGCTGACTGTGTAATGAGGAGTAAGCCAGTAAACAGCATTCCTTCTGCCTCTGCCTCCCATGTGCTGGTATTAAAAAGGCACCACCCATCGATCTCTGCTTCTTGACTATGGATACAATATGATCAACTCAAGCTCCTGTTGCATTGACTTCTATGTCACAATGAACTGTAGTCTCAAATTATGAACCAAAATAAACCTTTCTCCCTTAAGTTGCTTTTGTATTGTATTTTATCACAGAAACAGGAGACGTAGACAACACAATTTGTTTGTTGATAGTGGGTATTTTGTTTTCTGAGACAGGATTGCCTCAAACTAATAGCAATCCTCCTGCCTTGTTACTGAAACTAGAGGCCTGAGCCACCACATGGGCTATATTAATAGTTTAAGTGAATGTTTATTTTTGCCTCACCCTCTTTTCCACTTTAAGTTCAAATATATCCAGAATTTAACCATTCTTCACTAATGCTATCATTTCTACATTAGTCCAAATAATTTCTAACCTGGGTCTTTTTATTATTTGGGGTTTAAAAAGTTTATTACATTTATTTATGTGTGTGCACCTGTACAGTTACATACCATAGCATGCATATGGAGGTCAGAGAACAACTTTCAAGAATCAGTTTTCTGGGGCTGGAGAGATGGCTCATTGGTTTAGAGCACTACTGCTCTTCCAGTAGATCTGAGTTCGATTCCCAGCACCCACATGGTGGATCATAATCATCTGTTACACTAGTTCTTGGGGATCTGATGGTTTCTTCTGGCCTCCAAGGGCACCAGGCACACACATGGTGCACAGACACCCATGCACACAAAGCACCCACACACACAAAATAAATATTAAAAAAAAAAAAAAGAATCAGTTTTTCTCCTTCTACCATATGGGACCCAGGGATTGAATGCAGGTCATCAGGCCTGGAGGCAAGTACCTTTACCCTCTGAGCCTTTTTCCTGGCTCCTGTTTATTCTGTGTGTATATATACATGCTATATATTGTTTTATATATATATATATATATGATATATATATATATCATATATATATTTTATGCACTTTATTATTTTCTAAATGATGTGTATATATGCATGTGCTGGGGCCCACAGAGGCCAAAGATATTGGAGTCCCTGAAGGTGGAATTACAGATGGTTGTGAGCCGCTTGACATGAATGCTGGGAACTGAACTCGGGTCCTTTTTTAGAACATTAAGTTCTGAGCTATCTATCCAGCCCCTATTTTGGATTTTTATGACAGAATTTTGCTCCATAGCCCAGCCTGGGCTGGAACTTGGGATCTTGTTCCCACCTTCTGAGTGTTAGGATTCAGGTCTGTGGTATCATTTCCTGACTCATCAGACTGGGTTTCATTACAACAGCTTTCAATAAAGCTGAGTGCTAGTTTCAAGATGCAACTTGTGGGTTTAAGATTTAGCTCAGAGGCATTACAATTGCACAATATAGGCAAAGGTCCTGAGTAATCCCCAGCATTGAAAAAGAAAAGAAAAACCAAACAAAAACCCTTGTGACTTTTCTCTTTAATCAGAACCTTTAAATGACCTTCCACCTCACTCAGATTTAGTCAGATTTATAACGGATCCAAATCCCCACAACTTTTCTGACATTAGCTCTTCCAAGACCTTCCTAAATTGTCTCCTGGCCATACTGGCCTCTTTCCTGTAATAAGCCAGGCATGTTCTGCCTTTAGGGATTTCTTTCCTCAAATGTCCTCACAGCTAACTGCCTCACTTTGTTCAGATCAGCTTAAATTTCAAGGTTTCACCTTTCTTTTTCTGTAGAAGGCACATTACCATTCAATACCTTATGGGGTTACTTATTTTCTGTCTGCCTTTCCCACTAGGATGTAACTTCTGAAAAAAGGATGAATTTTATTTTATGGTGGTACCTATAGCACTGAACAGTACCTGGCACATAGTAGGGCCACTGTATATATGACTGAATGAATATTGACATACCTTCTCTATAATTTTGTGTATATGTGTATGGTGTACACACATGTATGTAAGTGCACTTGGAGACCAGTGTAGCCACAAGTTTCTCCAGTCCCACCCAGCCCCACGGTCCTACAGCCACTAATAAAATAATCAAAGGCTTATATTAATTACAAACTGTATGGCCAATGGCTTAAGTTTCTTGCTAGCTAGCTCTATCATCTTAAATTAACCATTTCTATGAATCTGTGTTTTGCCACCTGGCTGTGGCGTTGTTGCCCCTTGGGAAGCAGGCTGGTGTCTCTCAACCCCACCCTTCCTCTCTCTCTATCTCTGCTTGAATCTCCCACCTGGCAGTAAGCTTTCTTGCCATAGGCCGACACAGCTTTATTTATTATGCAATGGAAACCACACACATTCACAGCATAAAGAAAGACATCCCACAGCAGACCGGAGGTTAACTTTGGATGCCAGTCTTCAGGAACAGCCCACTTTTTGTTGTTTACTTGTTTTGAGACAGGCTCTCACTACATAGCCTTGGCTGGCCTGGAACTCCCAATGAAGACCAGGCTTGGTTGTGTGTTCCCCTGACCCTCATGAGGCTCTTATTCCCTCCCCACTACCTCCCTCCACACACCTTGGTTTTGGAGACAGGATCTATTCACTGGCCTGAAGCTCACTGACTAGGCTAAGGAGGCTGGCGAATCAGCAAGCCCCAGGAAATCTACCTTTCCCTGACTCCTCAGCACTCAGATTACAAGTGTGCACCACATACTCATTGTACTGGGGATCAAAGATCCTCGGATTTCACTCTTTTCCATTATTTTCCCAACTCAAATGTTTAGACAGCTGAACTTACCAATCAACTCCTCTGCTTCCTATACCACTGCAATAACATAAAACATCTAAGGGTCAGCAGGATGGCATAGTGGGTAAAAGTGCTTGCTGTACATGCCTGATGACTTAAAGAAGAGAACTGACTCCACAAAGTTGTTCTCTGACCTCCACATGGGCTTCCATGCCCATATACCACACAGAATAATGAATGAATCTAATTAAAATATTTGAGCCAAGTGTGATGGCATACACTTATGAGATTAAAGCAGGAGATCATGAGTTAGATGCCAACCTAAGACCCTGTCTTGAAAAAAAGAATGAAGGATAGAAAAAATTACGAAAACTAGGTACGCACTAGAGGTACAGTCAGTAGAATCAGAAGCTCGATGCCATCCTCAACAGGGTTTGAAAGGTAGGGCTTGAATACAATATACTATCTTGCTGTCCCCTTGATGAATAATCTTATTTAAGCACTGCAAGGTATTCAGAGATTGTGCAAAGATGCAAATTTCATGTGCATTTCTTCAGAGTACCCAGCAAATCTTAACATGATCTGATACCCTCATAACAAGAGCCATTAATACCTTCTGTATACTGAAAAATAGTTTAACTTCATCACCTTTTTTGTTGTTGTTGTTGTTTTTTTTTGAGACAGGGTTTCTCTGTGTAGCTTTGCGCCTTTCCTGGATCTCGCTCTGTAGCCCAGGTTGGCCTCGAACTCACAAAGATCCGCCTGCCTCTGCCTCCCGAGTGCTGGGATTAAAGGCGTGCGCCACCACCGCCCGGCCAACTTCATCACCTTTTATATATTAAAATCTAGTTGGGGGTTTAGTTCAATTTCTAGAACTATATCCTAGTATGCAGGAAGCCCTGGGTTCGATCTCCAATACCAAATAAATCAGGCATGGTGCACATGCCCGTAATTCCAGCACTCAGAAAGTGAAAGCAGAAGGACCAAGGTCATCCTTAGCAACATAGCAAGATTGAGACCAACCTGAACTATGTAAGACTCTGTCTTGCATGGGGAAATAAAACTGGTACTAGTCTGGAAGCTTGTTCTACACTGGCTAGCTTTCATAATGTTGGAAGGTGCTATGCATGGTACCTGGGGAATGGAGGAAAGAATAATCAACAGTCTTACTCAGCTGTGGGCCCTGCAAAGTATGACAATTATCCTGGTAAAATATGCCCACTAGTGCAATAGTAACATGAATGTTATGGGAGTAACCAACCACTTTTTGATTGGGTATAAGATCCACTCCACAAAATGGAACTCATGCCTGGTACTTTTAACTGGGCCAAAAACGTGTGGCTGGCTAAGTCATATGCCCTAAGGAAGAACCTAACACGACTGTTCTGCTAAGTGGACATAGTAATAAACTGCCCACTGAGTTCTTATCTGTATACCCATATATTATAACATCTCTCAATCTGTATCAGAGACGCTTCTTTTCCCTGTAGATGACAACTAATACAGAGACTCACAGTTAGTCAACATGCAGAGAATAAGAGACCACGAAGAGCTCAACCTTTTAACATCTCTGTTACCCACCCCCAGCAATGCTCAGGGATCATCACAAAGAGAAAATGCAGAAAGACTGTAAGAACCAAAGGTAGTGGATAACTTCTATAAAACAGTATTTTCTGTATGACAGGGTCATTGAACATTTGAACTCATAGCAACTGGGACTGCCCGTACAAGATCAAGCCAGCCACAATTTCAGCATGGAAGGGAGAGGGGATCAAGAAGTCCCTCCCACCCATAACTGTGGAATTGACAACTGATGACCACTGGGGGAGTCAGTTTTCTTCAGGGATGTAGAGGTAACTCAGAGGTTACCATGCAGATGGCCCTACACCCGTCACATATAGGTGGCTCTGAAAGCGCTCAGTGAGGGCTCCGGGGTTAAGAACACTGGCTATCTTGCAGAGGACCTGGGTTTGACTGCCAGTACCTACATGACAGCTCCAGACCATCTGTAACTCCTGTTCTAGGCGACCCAAAATACTTTACAGATCTTTGTGGGCACCAGGCACACAAGTGGCATACAGACTTTCACACAGGCAAAATACCCATACACACATACAATAAATTTCTTTTTAAAAAGAGTACATGAAGTTAGGAGGAAAAAGTGGTAGAGAGGATAAGGGAGAAACTGGAAGGGAAGAAATGGGGGATGGATCTGATTAAAACATATGCATGTACGAAACTCTTAAGGAATTTAAAAAAGACCCCCATCTTTAAAAAGAAAGCAAGCCTCCTTGAGGACTAGCTTTCACAGCAGCAGAAGATTGCCATGCAAGCTTCCAAAGGAGGGAAGCAACCAGCGAAGAGTCCTGCCCCGCTGTGATGCCTGTGAACTACAACAGCAGCCAGCATGGCCCAGCAGCCCTAGTGTACGGCAGTAGCACACACACCTTGGTGCTAACCAACAGCTCTCTAGTTAGACTCAAGATCTGCTCAACAACAGAGAACCTTCCTGGTACTGGAAACCTAGCCTCTTTCGTCCTGGTGAAGTCATGGATCTTGGAGGAGAACCTACAACCACTACTTCACTAAGCCCTAACTACATTCTAAATATTTATCCTAATACCCACAGGTAAGTGCAGTCCTCGATCCTCATCAAGGAAGCCCCTCTTTGCAACAGACAGGGGCCATTAAGAAAACCACAACCAATCAAAGCACAGAGTTGTGGAGCCCAGACCCAATGGATACATCTACCAAACAACTTTTGAACCTAAGGCTCAGGGAACATTGAGAAAGAGGGGATGGAAAGACTGTAAGAGCCAGAGGATCAGGGAGTTTGCTGTGCGACTGTATCTCCACTAAGGTCAGAAGCTACACCCACAGTCTCACCCACGTGGCTGCCTAACCGTGGGCTGAGCAAGGACAACAGCAACAGACATGCTGAAGATGACGGGGAGATGCCACGAAGCCTCAGCTCTACACAAAGAACCTCAGGCAACTGAGGGAAGAGAAACCAACTGGTTATCCAGTACCAAATGGTCAGCCCTGAGAAAAGAAAAATTTAAAGTTAAATAAAACGAAGAGCTAGTTAAAGGCAGAAAGCAGAACTACTTTCTGAGTAGCCTGAATGATATATACAGTGTTGACTAAAATAATCAATTGCACATTTCTACATTTAATTACCTGTGAATAGGAATGGCCTTCAAAATATAACAATGTAATTCATACACACCTTCCCTAGGCCCTATCCATGCCCTTATCTCAACCCAATAGCACCCAATCACAAGCATACTGAATCAAATAAAATAAAGGATTTGAACAACAGTGGACACCTGGCAGAAATCGGAAATCACTTTAGCCTCAAACTCAATTATTTGCCTAATGAGAACAGCCATCATATGCACTGTGACTCAGCATTTTAGGATCCTGAGTCATGAAATGAGATGAAGGTATTTCCTCTTTCCTGGCATTAACTAAATAATCGAGCCAAATTAAATGAAGCATCTCCGAAACGCAGAAAATGGCTGAAGTGCAACAATGCTCACGCTGACACAGGTTTAAGTCAGGTTCACGATATCAGGGACGACAGCACGTGGCAGATGATGCACAGAGCTATTCTGAAATAACTTGTAGCCCTACGAAATTAGCAGATAAAATGCTGACTACAATTACAACTCAAAAGTGAACAAAACATTATAAATAAATGAAAATAAAAAGCGGTTGTTTAGAGGTAAGTAATAAACAAATAAAATGACAGGGCTGAGGGAATTTCCAGACACTGGTCACCAGAATATCATAAGCTGAAATGGAATCAAGTGAAGAATTTTTCCCCTTACAACAAAGCAAAAAGAAAAAGGATAAACTAAACTAAAAGTGAAACCAAAGGGGAGAGCCTGCTGTTTTCAACTGTTCATGGACAGAAATGAGATAAAAATAGTAACTACACAAAGGAACTTGCTTTCGTGTGCAGCAGAAACTGGCCGAAAGGGGAAAGAAATGCAGCAAATCAGCAGGCAGGACACCTAGGAATGTGAGAACATGAGAAAGACTGAAGAGCATTAATCACATAGTGGAGGACTTGAGGAAGCGCAGGACAGCCAGCTAGGGCGGTGAATACAGACGGCAGAAACAGCCTGTGGGTAAGTGGGCCAAAAATAAAGCTAACACTTCATTGCTCTTATTCTCAAGGGTTAGGACTACAGGTGTGAGCTACCACACTGCATTCAAGTGGTTCTGGGGACAGAATCGGGACCTCAAAAAGCCAATTTATTCACTGATTTGTTACAAAGCCAAAGGGCAGCCTAAATGAGAAATTTAGAGCAGCTGAATCAAAAGTTGCCTTTTGTGTTTCTAGCATCTCTTTTTCTTTTTTTCTAGAGACTGAACCCAGGGTCTTTGTGCACTCTACACAAGCACTTTACCAACTAAGCCACATCCCCAGACCGTAAATACTATTAATACCATCTTACACTAAGGAAATAACCTCAGAAAAATAAATTGCTACAGCTCCCTGTTAAAAGAAGGCAGAGCCAGGCTACCGGCTTATATTGTCTAACTTCGCACTTTTATACTGTTTTATAGGAACATCTCAAATTGGTAAAAAGTGGAGAAAGGCATTTCATAGTATTACATGAGAGAAAATTCCTGGCCAACCTTTAAACGGTAATAGGAATTACGCTCTTGAATTATTGCGGGGTGGGGGGGGTGTAACACCCAAAGTCGTAAGTGAATCTAGCCTTGACATCTGTCAACAGGGTTGATTTGGCTGATCTGGGTGTCTAGTTGGGTGTTCCCTTTCCTCTTCATTGTCCTATGAAACCAGATATTTGGTCAAAAAGGATGACCTTCCCCAATAGAGGGAGACTTGTCTTTGGTCTAGGTATAGCTGTGATCGTTTACTAGAACCTGCAAATAAGTTTTCAAAGCCAGATAAAGAATTTAGACTCACATTTGAGAAGAGCATTCATATTATATATCATACTCGTCTACAAAACAAGCAGAGTGGGGCCTCCAATAAGACAAGGTTCACCAGGTTATGAATCAAGGAAAATGTCACAGGTGAAGGAGCATGTTGAATGGTAGGAGGAGCACCTTAACTTCTCATCAGACCCCTCAGAGTTTTCAGGCTAAATTTCAGACGTCCTTGGCATGGCAGTGAAGGAAGGCTTTCCACAACTCGACCAGGAAAAATGACAAGAAAGGCATATTACCTCGATTGGCAGACTTACGTCAAGCATTTGTTTACCAGTTCAGGTTTCAACGGACCAGGTTTACTATCGGAAAAAACGAGTTAGAAGGCAAGCTTTACATCTTGGCACATGGTAGAAGCACAGCAATCTTTTGAGCTAGACAAATGAAAATCGACTGACAATCACCAAGTGAGGGCACGCAGCCATACTGCCTTATGCCAACCAAACCTTTGTTGTTAGCTAATTTTAAAGCCGTCAAGTGAGACACTTTCACACGTGATCCCGGTGGAACAGGGTGACCTTGGTTTATCTGGATGCCCCAAACCAATTGTAAAAGGGCGCTATTGGCAATGTGTAAAGAATTGTTCCTTTCTTCGATGTGACAGCGTGGCTATGCCTTTAAATACTCATCGGCTAGGTATATATACATGAGTGTTTAAGAATGAAGTTGTTTCCTGTGTTTCCCGTACTCGGGGGTGCTAAGGGGGGAGTTAAGGAGATGGAATGAATTGGTGAACGTATTGATAAAATCACATTAGGGGTGTCACACGCTCTATGGGAGCCTCACACACTCACACCCACGTGCTGTTTTTCACCCCAGGAGGATTCCAGGCCGGCTTCTTTCCCTCGGGCCTCAGCCGCACCGAGAGTTCCTTACGAACGCCGCACTGAGCTCCCGTCCACCGAGCTCGCGCGTCGCCGACCGGCGTCAGGAAAGGGACCCACCTGCCGCTCACCGGCGCCCACCGCCCAACCGCCCCGCCCGGCCCCGGGGGCGGGCCTGTGCGCTACGTCACGACGCTGCGCCGGGTCAAAGTTCAGCCCCGCCCGCGTCCCCGCGCCGTCTCCTCGGCCTGCGCCGCCGCCGCTCGTGGTCCGGGTCGCGCTCCTTCCGCTCCGCCGCCTGCTTGCGAGTGCTGCCCGGCAGGCCGCCATGGCGAACGTGGCCGACACGAAGCTGTACGACATCCTGGGCGTCCCTCCCGGCGCCAGCGAGAACGAGCTGAAGAAGGTACTGGAGCGAGCCGGCGGGCGGGCGGGGCGAGGGCGCGGGGCCTGCGCGGTCGGGGCGGCCTGAGCCGGGCTGAGGCCCGGCGGCGGCGGGGGCGCAGTCGGCTCGGCTGACCTTGGGCCTCCGCCCGCCCGCCCGACCGCCCGCCCGCCCTCCTTGCGCAGACGCGGCCCGCCAACCCGGCGCCCCGGGCCACCCGGAAAAACAGGTCGGACGGCGGTGCCCGCGCCGCCCGGCCGGGGAGGAGCTGACCGCCGGCGCCGGTGTGGGGCTGAGGGCCGCAGTCTCCGGCGCTGAAGCTCCTCCCTCTGCCTCGCTCGCCCGGCAGCCGGAGCAGCGTGGGTCTGTTTGGAAGCATTGTTCTGTGGGCAGGTGATCCAAATACCCCGTGGTGGCTTCGGGGATGAGTCGTGTGTCCCAGCCAAACACTTGAGTGTGCACTCACTAAAAATAAGACAGATCTCATTGTTGTCCTTCGTAGTGGTACAAAACCATCTCGGGACTTCAGAGCACTTTACGTATTAAAAATGTCCCGCAGCATCTCCTCAGGCTGTCGGTATCGAATCTGAATTTGTGAACCTGGTAAAAAATGAGACTGTCCCGTAAGCAGTGGGACTGGTAGAGTCCAAAGTAAAATAGACTTCCTGTTACCCTACCGGAAATGGTAGGCTGTGTTATATAATTCATGAGTCTGTGTGAAGACTTAAATGGTGCTTGCCCAAATCGGTGGTTTCACTACCACCTCCGACCCCAGTCAACCTACCATGTGCTAGTACATCATCACCTAGGACCATCTGGGGTTTTTCCTGTTAGAGGACAGGCAGGAGCCAGTACCGGCAGCGATACTTCTACCTTTGCTTAATTTGTATAAGTGCTTAGGTTTCTGTAAAATGTAGTCACTTAATCTGGAATTTGTTAGGTTTGTGGTCGTGGTCTGGTTACTGGCTATCAAAGACATTTGGTAACAATAATAATAATAATAAAACCTAAGGAATAATGTTTCTGTATCTTTCTTTGTAGTTTTGTTCTGTTTGTAGTTTTCTTCAGTATAATCTTTTTTTTTTTTTCAGCAATAACTTACTTTGTTTTGGTACATTATTAGCAAGAAAGCAATATTGAAATGGAAAATGTCAAATAGGTTCTGACGAGTAAGTGGTGTTTGGGGGAAGGCTTGTAACTTTAAAACATTGTGTCTCAGAAAAGTGAATTTCTAAAATTGTTGTCTGTGTATAACTCTTTTTCAAAATCTTTTTTTTGAAGGCATACAGAAAGTTAGCCAAAGAATACCATCCTGATAAGAATCCAAATGCTGGAGACAAAGTAAGTTATTTGAAGTTTTATTTAAACTGAAATTTAAAATAAATCACCTTTACAGAAACAAGGAATGTGGTAGGGGGAAAAAATCCATTTATGCCTACAGAGCACAACTTGTGTTATTATTTTAACTGACTTGAAAATGCCATAATGAAACCTAATGCTTGTAATATTCTTTAAAAATAAGAAAAATTAGCCAGGTGGTGGGTAGTACATGCCTTTAATCCCAGCGCCTGGGATGCAGAGGTAGGTGGATTTCTGATTTTGAGGCCAGCCTGGTCAGAGCAAGTTCCAGGACAGCTAGGGGCTGTACAGAGAAACCCTATCTCAAAAGAGAAAGAGAAATTATAGCAACTGAGATCGCTCCGTCTTACAAGTCCTTGCCACGGAAGCCTGACAGCTTGCGCTTGATCCACAGTGGAAGGGGAGAAAGCTGTCCTTCAACCTCCACCACGCTTCCACACTCACACCGTGTATACACAATGACAATGATGACTTCTAAAGGAATAGTTTAGTTTTACAGTGAGCAATAGGTGATAAAGAGGTCCAAAATGAAACCAAAGGAAACTTGAAGCTTTTTATTAGAATTCAATGGATTCTGTGTTTCTGAAGTTTTTCTTTCTTTCTTGCACAGAAAAATCCAATTGTTTTCATTTTTACTTTCTCCTTATAGTTTAAAGAAATAAGTTTTGCATATGAAGTATTGTCAAACCCAGAGAAGCGGGAGCTATATGACAGATATGGAGAACAAGGTCTACGAGAAGGTAGCGGCGGAGGTGGTGGCATGGATGATATTTTCTCACATATTTTTGGTGGAGGATTGTTTGGCTTCATGGGCAACCAGAGTCGAAGTCGGAATGGCAGAAGAAGAGGCGAGGACATGATGCATCCCCTGAAGTGAGTCTTGTTTTGTCTTCAGTAGGTTCTTTTCCAAGTGCTGATGCTTAGAGCACAGTTACTATCGAATTGATTTTAGATTTTTTTTACTGTGCTTTCAGAAGTGACTAAATAAATTAATCGAATGTATTTTGCTTCAGATCTTAAAGGATGGAGGGGGTGCTCTAGAAATGTAGGTCAGTTGGTAAAGTGCTTAACACACACAAAATCTGGGCACTGCTAATAAACCAGGTTTGGTGGTCTTTACCTATAGTTACAGCGCTGGGGAGGGGAAGACGGGAGGTCAGCAGTTCAAGGGCACATATGCTCAGCTGCGTATCTAGTTTAGAGCCAACCTGAGATACATGTGAGCCTGTCTGTAAACAAAACAACTAAGATCTTAAAGAATAGTTGTTGTTTACTGAGATTTATTTTTCATGTGCTGTTGAGGTTGCTTGTTTTTATGTGATTTACAATTTCAAAGTGTGAAGATTATATTTGTTGAAGCATTTAAATCCAAGCTTTAAAAAGAATGGTTGTTTGCTTAGATTATTTACATGGTAAAGTCCCTCATTACTTGATCCTCAGTGCTAACTCTGCTAAGTAGGTTTCCATGGAGCTTACTGGCTTCCAGCTTGGCATTAACCTGCCAACAAACAAATGATGTGGACCTTGATTTTGGACTAAGACTCCACAATCCCTCTATAATCTGAAAATAGCCATTTCACTTTGCACTTTCACTTTATTTTGTAAATTATTTCATGAATAATTGTTTCAGTAACAAATGCTAGAGACTGAATTGAGAGGTAGGTGTGTGTGTGTGTGTGTGTGTGTGTGTGTGTGTGTGTGTGTGTGTGAGAGAGAGAGAGAGAGAGAGAGAGAGAGAGAGAGAGAGAGAGATATGAGTTTCTGATGTCCTGCCTCCACCTCAGAAGTGCTGGATTACTGGGGTGTATGATCATGCCTGGCTCTCAGCTGTTTGTTGAAAGTATTTCAGTTATGGTGGTTGTTGTTATGGAGGCACGTACTTGCTACAGTGCACAGGAAGACCAGAGGGCAGATGTGGAAGTGATTGTGTTGGTTCTTTCCTTCTACCCTGTGGGTTTCAGGGATTGAACTCGGGGAGGCAGGCTTGGTGGTGAGTGCCTTTATCTGCAGCCATCTCGCCTGTCTAGTTTTTTGTTGTTGTTTGTTGGTTTAGATTTATCTATTTGATTTTGAAGTGTTCCTTGCCTGTATGTATGTTTGTGCACTACACAAGTGCCTGGTGCCCAAGGAGATCAGAAGAGGGTGTCAGGTCCCCTGGAGCTAGAGTTACAGGCGGTTGTGAGCTGCCAGGTAGGTGCTAGAAATCAAACCCAGGTCCTGTGCAAGAATAAGCTCTCCAACCCCACCGGTGATATTTGTCTTTTTATACAAGTGCTGGGGATTGAACCCAGATACTAATGCTTGTGCTGCAGGTACATTACCAGCTGATCTGTCTTCAGAGTGTTCCACCCTCTTTTTTTTTTTTTGAATTGGAGCTTGTTAAATAGTCCAGGCTGGCCTCCAACACACAATGGTCCTATCTCTCCCTCCTGAATGCTAGGATTACAGGTATTGTCACCATACCTGCCTACTAACATATTTGTTTGAGTGGCTTTGTAATTTCAGTTCATGATGATTAATCACTCACCTTTTATGTGCTGGGCAGGGGACCTATAATAGATATTGTTGCTGTGCATTTCTTTGTATAATTTTATCTCTGGCAGATTCCCAGCCAAGCATCCATAGCTTGCTTGCTTTTTGAGATAGAGTATCACACTGGCCAAGGCTATCCTTGACTTCACAGCAGTACAGGTGTGAGGCACCATTCCTGAGTTGATATCCATGTTTTGAAGCTGATTTAAAAAACAACAAAAACCCCCAGCTAATTTGCTTTATAGAGGAATTTTGCCACTTTAAGCCTTACCAGAGAGAACCAATGTTCAGGTTATTCTTGACAGTTTTCCTTTCCTTGTTTTGTAAGACTCGAGATATAGATCACTATGTCATTAAATTGGATGTGATGGTGTGTTGTTGATAATTTTTCATCCATAGTGGTTTTACATTTTTCACTGCGCACTCACACTGACATATGAACCAGGGAGAGGGTATGAAGGTCAGAGGACAGCTTGTGGGAGTTCTTTTCCACCATGATTGAACTTAGTTCACCAGCAAGGGCTGCGCCATCTTGCCCACCTATAAATGTTCCTTTTATACTGCCTGAGGTATAGGAAAGTTTAAGCTTAAAGTAACAATTCTGTGAAAATTGTTAATGTTGGTGCCTTGGAGAATGATTTTGAACTATTTCTTTGTTCCTTTATCTAAATTCAAGGGATTTAAAGTAGTAAGGAAGGCTTAAAGGCTGGGTGTGCATAGATCAGTGGCAGAGCACCTGCTTAGCATGGGTGAGGTCCTGGGTTCACCCTGAGTAATGTGGGGTAAAAAAGATTTCAAAATACAAGAATAGCC